CCCTGCTTCCCCCACCCGCCCGGGGCCAGCCGCGCCCCGTTCCCGCCCCTTCCTGAGGCGATCTCTGCCGCGGTAGCTGTGCCCAGCCCGGGCTCCGGCGGGCCTCGCGGTTGTTCCCGCCGACTGCCTGCAGCGTCTGGCAGCGCCAGCCTCGTACGGCCACGGATCTGCTCGGTGCGTGGCTGGTGTTTTTACTTTCCAGTATGAGTAGGATCTTTTCAGAAAATAAAGGGTCGCCTCCTCACCCATTTTTGTTCTCTTCCGTCGGCACCCCGCTGTTCTTTTTTAACGCACTTGAAATACACGTGTTTTATTACGTGCTTTTTGTGAGGCAAAGCAGTTTTGAAAACTTTTACCAGAAAGGTGGGTGGGTTTCCGTTTTGCGTCGCAGTCGCTAGGGGGAACTGTTGCACTCCCTATAGTCTGTAAAAATGCGTTCATTTTCACCTTACGTTAAATTTTTGTATCAATTCTTCAAACGATTGATAGTCACGAGTCTTGATAATATCAAAGTAATTTGCGTAATTTTTACTGGAATATAAACAGGTACAATGCGGTAATAGGCGTCTAACTCCCCTCTGTTTTTTAAAGGTATAAGAAAGTCTTTTTGTCCTGCACTAGGCTTCTCTGAAATGCCTTTTTATTTCAGAAGTGACTAAGCCGTGCTGGGAAGTGACAGGGATGGGGCCGAGCTCCCAGAAAGGCAGGAAGAGTCAGCAGAGGGGCCCCCCGGGGCGCCGGAGGAGTTGAGGTGAGGTTATGGGAAGGCAGCAGGAGTCCGGGGCCTGGCACTGCGCCACGTCAGAATGGACGCTCCCCCCTGCCAGATGGTGGAGGGAAAGTGTTGATGAAGAAACGCAGGTCTAGCTGCAGGACCCTGATCCAGATCAGTGCAGAGGTGAGAACAAGGTTAGACAGAAGGGGTTTTTTTTGAAAGCTAGGTTCATGAAAGAAGCAGCTGGGGACCCTGGTGCCTGGGACAGCACTACTGTAGAGTAGTGTGGGGAAGGCACTAACTACATAAGGACTTGATGTAGTGACATGATACAGCGCCTCGGGTGAGCTGGTCACAAGTGTGACTTGAGTCAACTCAAATGGACAAGTCAAACTGGAAGGATTGAAGGGGTAATATGAAATGGGGTCTGGAAGTGATCGTAGTCAGTATTAGAATATGTAGAGGCCGCTGTTTTTCTTTTTAACTAAAAGTGGTGTGTCACATAATCCTCAAGAGTTTATTCTTTCAACCAATTTGTAAGGCCCCTGCCAGCAGACCAAGCTTAATGAGTAGGGAGCTGGAAGAGGATCAATAGACAAAGTCGCTTGGTGCAACAGTCTTAAGCAAAGTCCTCAGGGTATAATTTTTAGCTAGATATTACAAACTTTTTGTAAAATCTCCTGGACCAGCTTGTTCATGTCCTTTTCCGTGTCATCACCAGCGTGTCATCTCTCCTGAATGACGTTTTAGGAAATAATAAAAAAATTATATTTTACTTTTTTTGTTTGTTCTCCCCCTGCTCTGAGGGAAGAGGAATTTTAAGAATAGCTAAGACCAGTCCATTGTCTTGTGATTTCCACAATTCTCAATGCTAGGTTTGAGAAAGGTACATGTACCGTGCTAAACTTTTGAAGGATAGGATTACAAACATATATAAAGGACTAAGTTTCAGATTTTGTTGAATTCTTCAGAGAAAAAGCTTCAGAAAAGAAACTGTTGCAGTAAATGTTACAGATTAACAGCTACCTTGTGCATATTTTGGATGAGCAGTTTTCCCAGGTCAAGTATAGGGAGTCATTCTAGGGAGCAAATGGAGGTTACTGTTATATTTGATTATTATATATAGCACATGACAGACTGTTCCCATTTGCAGGTACAAACTGTTCCATGACATGACACAGGATGTGTCATTTTGCTCTTAAACATTGATAATTGCCTTTTGAACTATTCCTGTTCTAGAGCTGCTCTGGTATTTATTCAGCTTCCATTCTATCTGGCTTACTAGCCTCAGAGTACAAGCGTTCTTAATCCTCATCCTCTTGAAATGTTACAGAATGCAAAATGACACTGTTTTCTTCACCTTCAAAGCAGACCAGCCAGTACAGATCTTTGCGAGCACGCCTAGTAGCTTGAATAGCATATTACTAGTGTGAAAACCCTCATGCTATCTGGCAGGAACCAGCTGTATTAATTGTCTTTAGAAATAACTGTTGTGCAATAATGCATTTTTTTCTAATGTTCTTTGAGATGGCGTATGCCTCTTGATTTGTTTTATTGTATTTTAAGGCAATGAGAGCTTCGTCTTTCATGTCAGTGCATAAAAGCTTCTTGAACTTGTAAGTTTCTTTGACTTCGTAAGAGATAGATAGGTGGCATCATCCATCTGTCTTCATCTCTAAAGTGTTACCATGAAGTGTCCAGACAACGGTGGATTACTTCGCCTTTTTGAGATGCAATTTTGAATACTGCTGTAGCCCAGTTCTGAATTTAATTTTGAAGTGGAAAGTTGAAGACAATTTCAATTCCCACCTCTGTGGAAGATCAAAGCTCCATTTTCTGTCTGCTTGGGAAGTCTCTGATTTCCAGAGTTTAAGCTCCATGAAATCATACAGGAAAGGGAACTCTGCCCCTCTCTTGTTGAAATTATGCTGTTGTAAGTCAAGATTTATTGGGCCAGAGAGCAGGAAGGTGACTTTTTATCTTGCTAGTTTATATACCGGTCTGTGCACCTGTTTTTTGAATGATCTCTCTGTATTAAACGTCATTGAACAAAATATGAGCAAGTAGAAGACAGATATGTAATCTTAAATATTTCCTCTTCCAGGTAAGCATCCTAATTATACATTTTATGCTTTATTCATGGTGTTCTCCAAGCAGATTTTGTTGTCTTTTCCATGTGCTGGCAGCTGTCGATACGGAGGGTGGAGAATGCCTCTACCACTACTCCCTTTCCTCCTTCATCCCCCTGAAACTCACTGTGAAGTACTGACCTTCCAGTTTCTGGGGAGAAGGTGTCTGTGCCCACCTCGGGGTCAGATACTCTCTTTTATATGCCTTGGCCCTGTTCTATACATACGTACCTACATTGTGCTTAAAGCCACAAGATTTGCAGGATAAATGTTTCTTTTCCTGTGGGATTAAGTCTGACAGATGCTCCCTGCCTTGGTTGAGAATTAATTATATCTGTTTCCAAAGTGTATTTCACAACTGCTTTATCCCAATAACCTCTAAATACTGTGGAGCAGGACCGTAAGAAATTTTTTTCCAAAGAAGCTCTTTAATAAAAAAAAAAAAAAAAAGACTGAAAAATAGGATCAAAGATTTTGAGAATCGGAAAGAATTATTAGATTTCTGAAATCTCCTGCAAATCATGAATACAGAAGATATATCTCCTGTCAGAGATACTAACTTAGTGTTAAAAAACCAAGTATGTAAGACTTAAAACGTAGGATGACCTTGGGCTTAATGGTAGACCAGGACTGAGGAGAATCTAATCATCCTGGTTCTTTTATAGACTTCCTGAGTGACCTTGAGCAAAATTGCTCAGTGCCTCCATTTTCTATCAGGAATGTTTCCTTTCTCCTCTTCCCTGCCTTGTCTGTTTAGACTGATCCCCCGCTCTTAAGGAGGGGGAGTTAGGGACTCTCTATATATTGCGTGAGTTCTGTCAGTATATATTGACAGTGACACAGTGGGGTCCTGATCAGCTGATTTCTGCTTTACTAATAATCATTAAGCAATGATCATAAGTTTGGGATTTGAATTTGTTCAACAGAACACTGACTTTTGTGAGCTCCTGGAACTGAACAGTAGTTTCTGAGTAAAGCCACACAGGTACCGATCTCTGGCAGACATCACCTAGCTGCATTCTTTCCACATAATTTCAGAAGCTATAAATATAAGAAAAAACAACAAAGACCCCAAATCAGAAAAACCTACTTCCCTTCTCCCTCTCCACCAGAAGTATGAAGCTCGGGTTCTGACAGATACCTGGAATGGAGCATAGCATTGATAAATTGGGGCAGACCTGCAGTGGAATATTGCATGTTCAGTCTTGCCAATAATCTTGCCTGGATGTTTTTTAAAAATATATTTATAAATAATATGGGAATAATATTTACTCGTGCTTACATTCTTATATTGAATCATCACCATCAGCATGATCTCCAGTGTGATTTCCTCACTCCTAAATGATTTAACCATTGTTAATATACCGTTGCTTAAGGGGACTAGGGTTCTGAGTGTGAAACAAAACTTTATTATATACCACTGTGTATTAGTGCTGGTGCAGGGGCAACAAAAACCCCCAACAAATTAAAATCTTTTCCATGAAAAGATCTTGAAGCGCTACAGTTGCTGATGCCTCACCCAACAACTGCAGATTTGGGTTTTTTTCTTTCAGTTACCTAATGTGAGGATGATGGATTGGTTTTTGGGGTGTTTTTTCCTTGCATCCATCTCCAGTTGAAATGACTAGAAATGTTCACTGTTATGTCAGTGGAGATACTTTTTAACTGGTGTTGTAATATCCACAAAGTGAGCACATTGAAAGGAAGAATTTGGCTTCCTGAATCTCTGCTCATAATCTTTTCAACCTTGTGTTTGTTGTCGCTGTTTTGTTTGGGGTTTGTTGGGTTTTTTTTTCCAACAATCATATAAAAAAAGTCCGAGTGAATTTTTTTTTTTTTAGCTCTTGTATTGGTGCTGTTTAACTGGTTTTGTAACTATATAGTGCAAATCAGATAGGTGTTTTACCAATTTAA